CATTTCCTACATTAAAACCTCTGAATATTGTTGACACACTAGTTCCCATTCAGAATCTGAGAACTGGCATGTAAAGTGAATAATCACTATTTCTCTCACTATTTGTTTAATTGTGATTGAGGAATTACAAAAATTACCAATAACAATCCTTTCTATGAGTTGCCTGTAGATCCTCTCTCAAACAAAGCATGATATTAAATTTATTTTTTTGGAGCCCATTATTATTGTGATACTTATTATATTTTTGCAATGTAATTTTTGAATGGTTGATTATAAGAAGATAAATTTGGAGACTGTATATGAAATGCCTATTTATCACTTTATTTTCTAGTAATTCACTTTTTATTGTATTTTTCAAAAATATAGATTCATGCCAAATAAGAAATAAAAACAAATTATTAAATTTTAAGATAGTGGTCTTTCACAATAGTTTTAGAAGCAGTATTAGAGTAGGTTAAATATGTTATAATCAAGGCAGAAATTTCTATATGATAGAATCAGACTCTGGGGTTTACAGGAAGATGATGTCCCTTACTGCTGGCAGGAAAAGGAACAGTCACTATCTTTGCACCTGGAAATCAGGTTTCAAGTGGGATAAAAAGGTAGGTTCTCTGATTGGGGGAGGGATTCCAGGTAGAGAAAATCGTGTGGACAAAAGTACCCAGTCAAAAGAGCATTTGAGACCTATGCAAAATATCAAGTAGTTCAATATCTCTGAAACATAATGCACAATAGGAGAGTAGAAAAGAGGCCAAGCTTGATTCTGAGAGGCCTGGAATACATCAGGAAGACTTTGCAATTTATTCAACTGGCAAAGGGGTCCCTCTGATTTTTTTGAGAAATGAGCTTGAAATTTTTAGCTGAGCCTTATATTTGCCAGGAGACTGCTGGAGGTCTAGAGACCCATGAAGCTTCTTATTTATGAAGCAGTCTGTGATTAACATATACATGCTTCTATATATAAAACAGGTAATCAACAATGACCTACTGTACAGCACAGGGAACCCTAGTCAATATTCTATAATAACCTATATAGGAAAAGAATCTGAAAATGAATGGATATATATATGCATAACTAAATCTCTGCTGTACACTTAAGACAAACACAACTTTACTTGCAAATCCATTTGCAAATAAAAATTCATTTGTAAAATAAAAATTGAATTAAAAATTTAAAAAAGAAAAAATAGTTATAAAATCACATAAATGTACACATTTATCAAATAAAATTTAGAAAAAATGAGTAAGCAAAAAAGAAAAAAAAAAATCAGGTCAAAATCCTGCCATTTGTCAACATTCATGTTATACAGGAGAGACAGTGTGAACCATATACTATCCACTCTGTTTTAAAGACATCTTTGTTCGCCTTTTTTATACCAGGTTGTTTTTAGTAGCCAAGTCACATCCAGTTCTTTGTGACCCCATGGTCTGCAGTATGCCAATATTCCCTGTCCCTCACCATCTCCTGGAGTTTGCCCAAGTTCATGTCCATTGCATTGGTGATGCCATCCAACCATCTCATCCTCTGTTGCCCTCTTCTCCTTCTACCATACACACCAATAAATATGCTTATACATTTTCTTTTAGTGACCACATAAGTTATCATTATATGAACACACCTGGGAAATGACATGATTGCAATATTCAACATGAAAGGATTAGTCACACTGACATCTGTAACCATGAGGCTGTCAAGAAGGTAATTACTGCATGTGTTAAAAATTGGGAATGGCACCTCAGTGAAACAGTGAGAGAAGATAGGTTCTATACTTTGAACATATTGACTAAAGCAAGCTCCAGCTCTTATCAGCTGTGTTTTGGAAAAATTTTTTGCTTTATCCTCAGTTTTCTGGAGTTCACCATTATAACTTACACACTATCCATGAAATACATCTATAAAGATCCAGCACAAAGCCTAGCAAAGAAGCCACACAATATTAGATTTTTCTTTGATGATGGATTGATCCTCAAATGTAGGTGGGAGATGAATAACATTAAAGAAGATAGGTGTCTAGGACTCAAGGTGACATAACTAGGAAGAAGACACTATAAAAATGGAGATTTCAGATTTCTGAGTAGTTGTAGGGGAAGGCAGATATTCTGCTAACCAGGAACATGAGGATCCATCCAAGGCTGCAATGACATTCACATATATACTAATGGTGAAGGAGCATAATGAATGACATTACTGCACTTCAGCCTACACATGTCAGGGTCATCTATAAGCCTTCAGTCTCCTTCACTAGCAATGTATTAAACACTCATATGGTGACCCCTAACAATTAACTAAAGTTTCCAAATGAGCATAGGTTAGATTCCTTCAATCCACTTATATACTTTGGAATCCTGGTGAAACATTATTAGCAAAAAGAAGCTCACATTTTACATCTAGACATAATCTGTGACAATGAAGCCAGGGTTACACATTGTACTCATAGCTCCCACTGTATTTTCTGACTTTGTGAGGAATACATAAATAGGCCAAGTATCCAGTGATTGCCAGAAAGGTGATCTGGATTGCATAAATGAAGACAAATCTATTCTCCTGCTCGAAAAGAACCCAGCGCACACAATCTACTGACAGTGAATCAATTCCTTCAGTAGGATTTATGAAGACGGCATGCCTCTAAGAGCTTAGATTCTGCTTAATCCTGTTTAAAGGGTTGTTTTATGTCAAATTCTTTTATAAGTATTATTGATTTTAGGTTTTACTTAGACTATAATAATAACTTTGCAGCTTTATCCAAGGATATAGTCTCAAAATCAGGTTTACCAATGATTGTTAAAGAAATTATGAAAAAATGATTAAAATGACTTACTCCAAATAATATTATTGTGATATCTTGTAAAGCATTAGAGTAGAATGTTTGCCCTAAATATTGAAATATGGCCTAATTTAGCACGCAGTTCACTACTTAAACATCCCTCCAGTCCTTTGGTACTTCGATACTGAAGTGAAGTTACACACAGGAGTAAATGACTTTTTAAATAACCCAATCTAACCTGAGAAGGGAGATGAGACCCATGACCTTTCTTGCTTTCCAAAGTAAAAGACTACACAAATTTCTAATAGTCTGATCAAAATCATGGTGAAGAAAACATCATATTATTCAGCATTTCAAATTTAATGACTCACATTTTTTTTGGTCATCTCCTTCAATAGAAAATACTGGCTAGCAAGTAAAAAGATGACTTGCAAAATTATATTAGCACTTCAGGAGAACGGTTTGTGAGGGATCCACTTATTAGAAGAATACTAGAAAATTATATCCCTTCTTAAAATTTAGTAATAGTACTCATCTGAAATAAATCATAGAGTTTTGTACATCCGAAATAATCATAATGCAAAGGCAACAATATGGCAAGACCGAAGTTTATGAAGAATTCAGAATCAAAATATACAAAAATAGATGAATAAAATTGCTATCATGTTTTCTCTATTTGTAATATCATCAGCATGATAATATTTATCTTGCAGCCAATTTCAACTGAAATTTGACTTTATAGAAAAATAAAACTGAAATTCAATTAAATGCTTTCATTTATTTATTCAAAGAAAAAAATATCACCTTAAGTGCTTGCTGATCTCCAAAAACTGTACCAGTGATAGGTAAACAAGTATGATTTGGCCCCTGCCCTAGTTAATTAAATTACATTATTTTTATAGCTTACATAAATTAACACTTAATTTGCAGACATAAATGTACTTAATTAGGATATTAGAGAAGAAAGGATGAACTGTAAGACAGTATTTATTAGATAAAAAGGCAAAGCTCTATGCTTTGAAATAATCTACTCTATGCCTTGAAAACAAAGCAAAAATATATACTTATTATGTCTAAATAAAGTGAAAGGCAAAGATTAACCTATCAAGCCACAGTGACTGGAGCTTCCCAGGTGTCCTGGTGGTAAAGAATCCACCTGCCAATGCAGGAGACACAGGACATGGTTTTAATACCTGGGTCATGAAGATCCCCCAAAGAAAGAAATGACAACCCACTCCAGGATACTGGTCTGGGAAATCCCATGGACAGAAGAGCCCGGAAGGGCTACCACCCACGGAGTCACAAAAGAGTCAGACTTAACTTAGAGACTACACAACAAAAACAACCACAGTGATTAGTATGGTTAGGCAAATTGTAAAACTCAAGGAATGGAAATTTGACTTCCTTCTTTCTTTTCTAAAAGACAATTTTTAGTTCTTTATTTATTTTCGGCTGTATCATGCTGCCTGCGAGATCTTAGTTCCCCAACCAGGGCTAGAGCCTCTGCAAACTTCAGCGGAAACAAGAACCATTACCACTGGACCACAGGGGAATGCCCTGACTTACTTTTCACCAACACATTTCTTATGACTAGATTACACAGTAATCCCCCTGCAAACTCCCATAAAGTCCCTGGAGCCACTAAGTGGTGTGAGTTAATTAATTAATTTAAAATCTAAATGCTTTTTAAAACTTTTTGAAAATAACAAAATAAGGAATAACCTAAAGAAAGCTGAGGCGGTTTCTTAGCCAAGCCAGAAAAAGGAAAAATACAGCATGTTCCCATGCTCTTTCAGTCATTTCAGCTTTGTTAGAGTCTCCTGAGTTTGTGGCATTTAAACTTAAAAAGAAAAGCTACAGAGGAAAGAAAATTAACTTGATTGTCAAATCTGAAGCACTGACATATAGGCTCCCCATATCTATACTTCTACACCAATGAGAATTATCTAGAAAAATGCTAGAGATATAATATGCATTTGAAGTCACATAATTAATGATTATGAGGGAAGAGCAGATACAGAGTCATCAATATAATGTTTGGGGGATGATTTTATTGAAGACTTATCTTAAGAAAAGGTTTTTATTCATAAGAGCCAAGGTATACATTTCTGATTAAATGGTATATAAAATCATTGAAGAATAATGCCAATTAAAATATTAATACAAATCTCATTATTTAATTTTCACCATACAGAACATGAAATAAACATAATGCATAAGAACATACATACATACCATTGATCCACCGAGCTTCTGGGTCATGAAGCACAAAGTCTTTCCTGAAGAGGTCTTCTAAAGACAATCTGGTTTCTGATGAATTTGTGAGTTCATCTGAAAAAAAGTAAATTTTAGGTTAGACATTTATCTCATGTTACTTTTAAAAACTAATGAATTATAATATTTGGACTATTTTGCTTCAAAAACATATCTTAATAAGATAACAATATAAAATGGTAATGCTAATGTTCTTTGGCTTTGGAAGTTTGTTCCATGACTTTATGTTGTGATATATAATAGGAAAACAGTGAATTATGCCTCAAAGGATACATTTTTCATTGTTTAACCATAATCCAGCCCACTATTTTCCAAAATAACTTCAACTTATTCTCTCTAATGATAAACTTACAGTTTTGTTGTAAATATTAAAGATGAAGAGGTAAATGTTATAAAAAATATGATAAATAAAACTTCCCAAATTGAAAGGAAGTTCACCAAGTAAACAGAATAAATGCCAAATTTCAACAAATAATTACCATCTAACAAATACTAAGTGAGTCTAGGAGTCAAATGCAAAAATTTCAAAAGTAATACAATGCCAGAATATGAATGAAAAGTGTACATTCATATTAGTCCCTGACACATAAACTAGGTGTACTTCCCTTTTAAATTCCAAAATCTAAGAAACAGAAGAACATGATTTAAGCACCAAAATTAAACACAGCAAGCAAGTTTTTAGATGAAAAAGTCTATAAAAAAAGTTAGGGATATTTTATTTTGTTTGTAAAGCAATGCCATTGTTTATTTATTGTATAAAACCATCTTTGTGACCTTTCAGCTGTGACCTTAACTCTTGTTGAAAATAAAGTGTCAACAATATATGCTAACATCATTAGAAATTGTTTTTTAAAGGCTTAGTACTTAATTGCAGCAAGGTTTTGTTTCTTCCAGTAGAAAAGTTGGGGCAAAGAATCAATAACTCTAAATGCAATTTCCTTCAACATGAGTCTAGCATATATTTAACCCACAAAATAATTGCTCAGAAACAACTGAAAAATAGGTAACAAGTGGGGCTAGTGAGAATCATGTGATTCAAGACTAGCATAAAATTATTTGCAAAACAAAATGCTCCATTTGGCAGTCTCACATGATAAAATTTTAAATTACCTTATTCATTCAACAAATAATAGGGCTCTTAATTTTCAAGGTGTTAAGTGAAGTACTGTAAGGTACAGGAGACATATCTATTCCATGTCCCAAGGGCTTCACACAAAGCAAGAAAGACTATGATGAGGATATACAGTACAGTATAAACAGAAAGAAAGGAGGGAAAATACCTTGCAAAAACAATCAGAAAAGACTTCAGTGAAAAACGAAATGAACAACTATCAATCATTGCTGGTGGGAATGAAAAATGATACAGATACTTTGGAAGACAGTTTGGTGGTTTCTTATAAAACTAAACATATAATCTAACAATTGTGTTCTATGGTATTTACCCAAATGAGTTGAAAATTTACAGCCACACAAAAATCTGCACATGGAGGTTTATGGTAGCTTTATTCATAATTGCTAAAACTTAGAAGCAACCAAGATGTCCTTCAGTAGGTGAACAGATAAACTATGGTCCAGATGTTGTGATATTATGCAGTGATAAAAAGAAATAAGCTATCAACCATGAAAATCTTGGAATAATCTTAAATTATTAAATGAAAGAGGCCAATTTGAAGAGACTGCATACTGTATGATTCCAACTACTTAACACATTGGAAAATATAAACACTGAAGACTCTAAAAATATCACAGAAAACTAACCAAACTGATCACATGGATCACAGCCTTGTCTAACTCAATGAAACTATGAGCCATTACATGTAGGGCCACCCAAGACAGACAGGTCGTGGTGGAGAGTTCTGACAAAACATGGTCCACTGGAGAAGGAAATGGCAAACCACTTCAGAATTATTGCCTTGAGAATACTATAAACAGTATGAAAAGTTATAATGCCAGATACATGTAATTATATGTTTGTCCAAATACATAGAATGTACAAAAGCAAGAGCGAACCCTAAAGTAAAATATGGACTTTGGCTGATAATGATATGTCAATATAAGTTCATCAATTGTAGCAGACATATCTTGGGTGGGATAATAACAGTGCAGAAGGTTTTACCCAGGTGAAGGTAAAAGGGAAATTTCTATACCTTCTGTTCACTTTTTCTGTGAACATAAAATTTCTCTTAAAAATAAAATCTATTCATTTTTATGTTAAAGTTAAAAGAACTGGGCCTTTCAGGTTTCATTTCTGGATCTTTCCTTTGTGGATCTTCCCTGTAGCTCATATTGTAAAGAATCTGCCTGCAATGCAGGAGACCTGGGTTTGATCCCTGGGTCAGGAAAAATCTTCTGGAGAAGGGAATGGCAATCCACTCCAGTATTCTTGCCTGGAGGATCCCATGGACAAAGGAGCCTGGCAGAGTACAGAGTATAGTTCGTGGGGTCACAAAGAGTTAGACATGACTAAGTGACTAACACTACTTTCAGGTTGCAAAATACAGAGAAAGGGAATGGCATGGACAAATGAAGGAATGAGAACATTTTAGCAAAAAGGATGAGTGCTTTTTGTTTGACAAAGAAAAAAAGTCATGATTCTATAATTAATTTCCTGTCTTAGGAGTTTGGGATTTTAATAAAATCAGCTAATTTTATTAGGATTTCAGAAAATATATTTATTCAATGAGATATCTCAATAAGACTGGATTTTGCTATAGATAAGTTTCACAATGTAAAGTTTCCTGAGATTATATAAAACTACCATAATTTGTCCAATCCAATCCTTTCAATTTTTACATGATTATATTTCATCATCTCTATTTGATAGGCATTTATTTAGCTGATCTAAGGAAATTTATACAGCTAAAAGTGGGAGGTAGGATCTAACTTTCAATGGGAGGGTAGATTATTCTAACACAATATATTAAAAATGATCCTTATCAACTGAATCAAAAAATTAACTATAATTTTGCTCCTAGGTAAATTCCACATATTTTATTTACTGCATCTTTTAGGCAGATACAAAACAAACAAACAAAAAACACCTTTAAAGCGATTACACTACACCATATAATTCTTATTTTCAAGTATTAATAGTTTTTCAAATACTATTTCTCAAACATGTATTCTTTTTATGAGCTTGAAAATCATATTAAAACACACCAAAATAGAAATCTTACTAAAATAGCAAAACATATATACAGTGAATTGAAAAACTCTAAACATTTTATAATATAAAGGTTCTTCTTTCAGAACTACTTAGTTCACTCATATTTTATATACACTAAGTGTTTCATCTTCTACTTTTCATATAGATCCTTTACATTTCCTATTGTATTTACTAGTAAGTATATATGTTTTGTTTTGGGTTTCCCTGATAATTCAGTTGGTAGAGAATCTGCCTGCAATGCAGGAGACCCCGGTTGGATCCCTGGGTCAGGAAGATCCACTGGAGAAGGGATACACTACCCACTCCAGTATTCTTGGGTTTCCCTTGTGGCTCAGCTAGTAAAGAATCCACTTGGGTTCAATTCATGGGTTGGGAGGATCTCCTGAAGAAGGGAAAGGCTATCCACTTCAGTGTTCTGGCCTGGAGAATTCCATGGACTGTACAGTCTATGGGGTCTCAAAGGGTCGGACACAACTGAGCAACTTTCTCTCATATGTATGTTTTCTTACTGTGAACAGAATATTTCCCATTCATAATCTAAATAACTTTATATACACAGAGAGTTAATCATTACATTATTTACCATATCACATTTGCTTTAAAATGCCAATGGAAATGAAATCTCTTTTTTTTTCTACTTATTTAATTATATCATCTGAAAATAATTTTTCCTTTTCATAAAGTTTAAATTTATATGTATATGTATGTATGTATATTTACATACACATGGGCTTTCCTGGAGGCTCAGATGGTAAAAGAATCTGCCTGCAATGCCAGAGACCTGGGTTCAATCCCTGGGTCAGAAAGATACTCATTCCAGTATTACTACCTGGAGAATCGCCACGGACAGAGGAGCCCAGTGGGCCACAGTCCATGGTGTTGCAGAGTCAGACATGACTGAGCGACTAAGCTCACACATACATGTACATGGGCTTCCGTGGTGGCTCAGACGGTAAAGAATCTGTAACGCAGGAGACCTGGGTTCAGTTCTTGGCTCGGGAAGAGCCTGTGGGCAGGAGAATGGCTACCCAGTCCCATATTCCTACATGGAGTATCCCATGGACAGAGGAGTCTGGCAAGCTATAGTCCATGGGTCTCAAAGAGTTGGACAGAGCAACTAACACTTTCCACTTTCACATACATATACATATGTTTATATATATACATACACTTATATGTAAAATATATACAAATATACACACAGGCATATACAAAAGATATATAAAATTTTCAGGTATTACAGATCAGATGCAGTTGTAAGAAATAATACAGAAAGATCCCTTATACCCTTCATCCAGTTTCCATCAATCAAATACATCTGCATAATCAACAGCACAAAAAGAAAATTGATACCTTCCATCAACTTGATTCAGATTTCACCAGTTTTGCATGTATTCATTTGTGTACATGTGTGTATATGTGGCCATACCTATTTCTATGTAGTTGTATCAAATATGATGAGCACCAGTAAAGATGAAGAACAGCTCTGTCACCAGGATCTCCTGTGTTGACCTTTTGTCACGTAGCCTCTCTCGGCAACCTTTGGCAACCTCTAATCTACTTTTGCATCTCTATAATTTTGCAATTTCAAGGGTGTTTTGGAAACATGCATTAGGTAATATTTTGAGATTGGCCTTTTTCAGTCAGCATAATTGTTTTGAAATCCACTTTAGTCGTTGAATATATCAGTACTCCGTTTCTTTTTGCTGTTTGCTGATATTCCAAGGCATGAACGTACCAGTTTGTTGAACTGTTCATCTGTTGAAGGAAATCTGGGTTATCATTTGTAGTCTGGGGCAACTATCAATAAAGTTGCTATGAACACTATTTATAGGGTTTTATGTGAACATAAATGTTCCTTTCCTTGGGATAAATGCCAAAATATGCAATT